AACTTTAATTAAATGTCCATAGATACAGCTTTTGAGTGGATTGTTTATTTTTATTGCTTGTTTAATTTTATTACAATATTTCGACAACTCGTGTGGCTACCATCAGGTAACTGTCGCCTATGGCGTGAAATAGTGCGCGAGCATTTCGTTCCAATTTAGAAAACATATAGGTAACACCTGTGTTTTGATTTAAATTAGGTTTTAGTTGACGAATAATTAATCCTTCTTGGATTTTTCTTCAATTAATATTGTTCTCATTTCATAATATTTTAAAGCTGTTAATGTTAATTGGATGTTGATTTGTTGTGCTGTGTTCGTAAACGTGTGATGGGGAATTGTTATATTCTTTGATCCTAATGCTTTTGTTGCGTCCTGTTTCGCCTATGTAAGTGCTATCGCATTGATAGATGTCAATTATTTCGTTGTTGAATTTGTCAGAATAAACCTTTCTTAGATGATCTTTGATAATGTGCCAATTTTTTGTTGAACTGAGTGGGCTGAGTCCTACTTTATATAGTTGTCGTCATTAACAGATTCTAGAAGATTTTCGTGTTAAGTCTGTTAGAGTTTCTTTCTATTGATATGCTGGTATAATTTAAAACCTGGTTTTCATTCCCTTCTCTGTGAATGAATTTGATATTAGAATGAGTGTTCTTTACGTTTTGTACAAATTACCGTTTATGGTTATTGTCTTAAAATATACAAAATACATCGTCGACGTATCTAAAGCAGTATGTGTGGGAAAGTGTAATGGCCCGACTTTCTATTCTGTTGATAAACAATTCACATAATCTATGTGACAGAGGGCTGCCCAATTGTTCAAAGTGGAGCAAGTCTTTCAAAGTTTCCAAGCTCAGGTTGTAATTCAATTTGTCAGAATTTTTTGATATCATTCCTAGAGCTAGGTTTGTTTCTTCATCTTTTGGTACCATTGTATCCATGGAGACTACGTCAAAACTGTACATTTTGTGATGATTGTTGAGGTTTTTGAGAATGCTTCGGAATTCTTGAACATCTTTAACCTTGTATTTATTGTTGTCATACAATGGTTCGATCATAAGATCTAGGAATCATGCAAGCTCATGATTATAACTGCCAGAAGTTGAAAGGATGGGGCGGATGTCAATTGTGTTTTTGTGAATTTGGGGAGCACGAAAAAAACAAGGGGTACTTACAATGATGACTCTTAAGCTGATGTATATGTCTTCACTGACGTCATTGTTCTTTTTTGAACTTTAAAAGTAGGCTATTCAATTATCTTCCATAACATTTGTTAAGGTTTTTCGATAGTTCTTTGAATTTGGTTGAATCGTTTAGGTGTTTTTTAATAACTTGTAATATTCCGTTTCCATAATTACACTTTTACCTCTTTGTCAGCCTTTACTATGATAATTTATGAATTATTTTGCAATACTTTAAGGGCTGATATTTGGCGTTTCTTGACGTTTTGTTTAATTCTGTGGTTTCTAAGTAGATAACCTTCAATTCTACATGATATTTTAAGGATGAAATAGTTTAGGTTTTGATTGTCATTTGGTATTAGAAACCACATTCTGTTATTCTTGCCTTGAAATGTCTTTCTAGTTTCATTGTCCGTGTTCTTATCTTGTTGATCTTTATTTGTTTCTTTAATTTCGGGCCAGGTGGTTTGGGCGCTCGACTCGCAATTTGCGGGTCGCGGGTTCAAATCCCCTGTCCCACCAAACATACTCGCTCATTCAGCTGTCGGGGCGTTATAATGTAACGGTCAATTTCACTATTCGTTAGTAAAAGAGTAGCCCAAGAGTTATCGGTGGGTGGTGATGACTAGCTGCCTTCCCTCTAGTCTTGTATTGGCAAATTAGGGACGGCTAACGCAGATATCCCTTGTGTAGCTTTGCGCGAAATCCATAACAAACAAACAATTCCAAAAATATGTGTCCATAGTCATATGCAAATCCTATGTGCCCCATTCTGTGAGCATATGTATTTTAACCTATCATAACGTATTAACGTATTTTACTATCCACCCTGGAAAAAACAAGATCCTCTTTTCGTTTTCTTATAACTGTGTGATAGTATCATCTGTTGGTTGTGAGTTTAAGTTTTTGACAGAAATACAAACTGCCACAGTTATTCAAGTATTGGAACGCAGATAAAAGTTGCAGATCATGTGCGGATGTCAAATAGGCCTATTTGCTAAACAGCCTGGGCAAAGTAGTGAAAATTCAGTTACACCACTTAACGCCTGCACAATATAGTCGTTGAGAACCGCCAGTTTACTGTCCATGAATTCATTATGGACTTCAGGATAGCAACTGGAGTGATTACCAAGGATCGAAACGTAAGAAACAAACTTAATGGATCCAGCAGCTTAAGACTGAGAAGACCAACTTGATCCAGAACAGCTTGTATGGGTTTTTGCCCAAGATCTCTTGAAGTGGCAGCAACTCCGATAGGTGAATATACCTCGTGGTTTCATATCTATCTGCGATTTTCACTAACAACACGCCTAGCGCAGTATGACCATTTTGGTGGTTGAGGAAACCTATACTGTTTTGGGGAGAAGTTATTATTTAAACATATTTTATCGTTCTTCGAGAAGGGGACATACATTTTGATGATATACTGATATAGTATGAAACTCAATATCATACTGCCAGGACTGTGATGAACCTTCTTAGACAATAAGCTACAGATCTCACGAACTGCCCAGACAGAAGTCCTGAACTAGATCATATAGAACACGTTTGAGACCTTCTTGGACATTGTGTCGTCAACTCCCTAACCCACACTATTACACCGAAAAGTTTAGTATTACATTAACATTATTCACCAATTGTTCGGAATTTCTTCTTGCAATTTCCGACTTAATTATCATGTAAATATTAACACTGTAACATTGTGCAAATATATCACTTGCAAATTCAAAACAGCAGTCAGTCAGGCTTCTACACAATTAAGTAATGCCTCATATGGTTTATAAGTACAACAAAACCTCGCGCATTAATCTCCATTGCTTAAGATAACTTTACTCAAACATGAATATCAAATCTAAAGCAGATAGTGAAAAGCAAAGAAGCTAGATGCAAGACATTACACAATTATTCTAATAGTCGAGAAGTTTTTAAAGGACCAACCTTCGCAAGAACAAGTGATATTGTAGGTTTAGTTTCAAACATGTAAAATCTTACTTAGTGTATATTTTTGCATGCTTTGTTTGTATTTTAATTACTTCAATTACCTTTACACTGTAGCTGCAAAAAGCGTTATACAGAGAAAACCATAATACGTCATATAATATGGCTTATAAAGGATTAACTCTGTGTTTCTGAAGGAACCGCTAGGGTTATGAATTAAACCAGGGCTGACATTTAAGGTTATTTTATTGGAGGTCTCCAGCGGACCAAGAATAAGCCAGCCAAGGCCACTTTACCTGAAGAACATAAATTATAAAACGTAGATGGCGCTATCTGCCGATACAAAGCTGTAGAATAACATAATAGTTACTTAAAGCCACGTGACAATCGTGAACAACTTTGCAACAGTGTGGGTGAAGAGTACTCGTAAAGTTAGCTCAGAGAGCCTGTAGAACTTAATTTTAAATAAACATTTTGTAAATTACGTAAGAAAAATTTCACTAGAAATAACCTTGTAAATTTACAATGGATTTGGAAAAAAAAGGTACATTTCCTTACTTAGCTGCATGGTCTGTGAAATGAATATGAATTGCAGTTTAACTAATAGAAGTAATTTAACGGTTGGCATGCGTAACTTCTGAATATTTGGGCAGGGAAAACTTTGACGTTGTGATACTCACTCGTGAGTTTTGCTAACATGTTTAACAGCGATTTTTCGGAGAGCAAACGAACGAAACACAGTCTGTATGTGTGTGTGTGTTTATACTTGCCTACAAACAAAAGAAATTTTGTAAATTGCTGAGAAACTATATCGTATATTGCGAAATTTAACATTCGACTTGCTATAAATTTCAGGAGCTATAGCAAAATTGTAAAAAGAAGAAAACGTAGTTTATTTGAAATTGACAAAAAAACTTGTTTGATGACAAATTTTTACTTAAACTTTCGTAGCCTTATACAGAAAGGAACAACCCATTACTTAAACTTTCGTAGCCTTATACAGAAAGGAACAACCCATTACCTAAACTTTCGTAGCCTTATACAGAAAGGAACAACCCATTACCTAAACTTTCGTAGCCCTATACAGAAAGGAACAACCCATTACCTAAACTTTCGTAGCCTTATACAGAAAGGAACAACCCATTACCTAAACTTTCGTAGCCTTATACAGAAAGGAACAACCCATTACCTAAACTTTCGTAGCCCTATACAGAAAGGAACAACCCATTACCTAAACTTTCGTAGCCTTATACAGAAAGGAACAACCCATTACCAAAAGAATTAATGACAATGATTCTTCATCTAAGATGTTTTGGTTAAAGGCATCCTTAAGAGAAAGTTTATGAACATAGCACATACTACGACATTATTTTTAAAAAGTCATCGGTAGCGTTCAAGGGCTAAATTGTTTGTTAGAAACGTGATCAAGTTGTTATAATAAGCGATAAGGAAACCTATCGTGTTTTAAAAACGTTCGATCTTTGTCTTATTAAAACTTGTTGGACGCCTTCTCATACCCTATCCGAGGTGTATCTATCAAATAGAATATTTCCGTTGCTGAACATACTACGACAAACTTTGTTAAAAAGGGTTTGAATATCATACTCGTTGATTTGTACTAGTTGAGCTCAGATATATTGAAAGAAAATTTAGGATACGAGCAAAATATAAGTGATAAAAAGCAGTGAATGGATTATGAAAACGCTCTTGTGTTTGAACTTTTCGTTCCCCTTATTTTTATCCCTTGTCTATTTAAATATCTACAACGACAGTTACGTGTCGTTTTTGAAATGGATAGTAATGAAGTTGAAGGTGCAAAACCTTGCATTGTAAGCCTTAAGTCTCGGCTTCTAAGATTAAGTATAACTGTTTTTTTTTTACCTGGAGATCCTTAGCGTTGCTGAAAAACGCCGAACACTGGAGGCATCGGAATGTCTGGGACTGTAACTGTGCGTTAGAGGAAGTGTGGGCAGATTCTTTCTTGTGGTTCTGCATATGTGAAGTCAGCGCTGCCGCGGTGTTGTAACCGCGGTTACAGACAGTGCACTGGAAAGGCTTGGCATGATCATGTGTCTTCAGATGAATCTTAAGGTGGTCACTTCTGGAGAAGGCAGATTCGCAATGTGGACAGCGATACTTTTTGTCCCCTGTGTGGAGTTTGATATGTCGGTCGCGACTACGCTTATGCTTGAATAGCCGCTGGCAGTAGTCACATTTAAAGGGCATTTGGTCACTGTGAATCTGAAAAAAAAAATGCAACAAAAACAATTATTCCCTTTCGTCCGGTAATATCATTATCGTCAAGCGTTTTTCTTAAACAAATCAAAAATCTAAGTATTTTGTTTCCGTCATATAAAGTTATAACAAATGAGGTAAGTTTCAGAACATGCATTTAGTAGCTTGTATATGTTAATGTTTGCCATAAAACTAAAATTTTAATACAATATTAAAATACTTTTTTACAGCCAGTACATTTTCATGTGGGTTGGTAGAGAACATATAAATTTAATTAGTAACTAAGTTAAAATTCGATACAGATTTTACGATAACATAATGTAATTGTTATTAAGTAGATAGAATGAAATATAAGTGAACTGTTATAGAAAAATAAAGATCTAAAGTCAACCATGGAAAAGTTCGCAATAAAAGTAAGATCGTGCTTTCGTTATTTCAAGTTATCTCAGGACGTCAGAATGAAGTTTATAAATCGTTTTATTCTTACAAATTATTTGAATTTCGTCGATTTTACTTTGTTCTCTTCAGTAAGTTTAGACCGGACTGGTATTACAAATTCACAAGTTTACATTCAAGGTTTATAATGACGAAATTACATATTCCCTTCATATCAACGTATTTGCATGAAGATCAAATAATTTTCCAGTGTTGTTTGATCTGTAGGTCTGGTATACTGTGATGTTTTCCTTGACATATACTTCCGAATATTTTTCGGTTGAATTTCAAATTAGGCCTTACAACTAAGTTTTTACGTGTGTAACTACCCTCCAGTGTGTCTGTCACAAATACGTGGTCACATTCTCTTGAATATTTCACGATACTACTGTGTTCACACAGTACCAGCGAGATAACTTTACGTGGGTAACTACCCTCCATTGTGTCTGTCACAAATACGTGGTCACATTCTCTTGAATATTTCACGATACTATTGTGTTCACACAGTACCAGCGAGATAACTTTACGTGGGTAACTACCCTCCATTGCGTCTGTCACAAATACGTG